TAAAAATTTGCAATTCTTTCTGTATTATGGCTAACTGTCTTCTGTAATTGGTTGGGATAAAATACCTATAACCCGTGTCATACCAGTATGACTGAAAGGGCTAAGGCACTCATACAACATTGTATGAGAGAACACAAACTGGTACTGGGTAGTGTGAACTCAAGATAAGTCCTTAGGCTATGTAAATCAAGGGAACCAGGTAGGAAGATGGAAGCCTACTTGAAAGACCCAAGTAAAGAGGTAACCCGAACCTTTGATAGTGCTACTGTAAAGACTAGACTTATGAAACAGAGCTAGAACTTGTAAAATCAGACAAATGTGCTGGTCTTTGAGGAGGGACCAAATGAACCAACCAGGCCACTGGAATTTCTGAGTTCTGGAGGAAAAGGGCACATGTCGACAAACATGTGAACCAGAGGTGTATAGTTTCGACCTACCTTTTCAGGCTATCTGGAATGGCAGCTTGGTGAAACTTGAATTGAATACCAAAATAGTAAGAATATATTGTGAAATCAGTATTAGGGTTGGGGTGAACTCTACAAGGGCATAGCAGTTTAATGGTACACCTTGACCACCAGTGTTGGTCTTGGCTATAGCGATACCAGGTTAGCTGTAAGAATAGAATACAGAAGATTCTGGAAGGTTTAGTACAAGGTCAAGGGTTCTCCATATGAGTGAACCGCTTTAAAAACTTAGTGGTCATAGCATATTTGAACTGATATCGACTGGAGCATCTTGGTAGATGTAGATAGATGGGTGAATATGAGAACAGAGTGGTTAAATAGGGAACCTACAAGTAGGTTTCAGGTATGGCAGCTAGTGTAGAACCTTCGAGCAGACTATTTAAATTAGACAATGACTAAAGTTGTATGAGTGACTAGTTGTACACTCTTTCCATGATTGCCCCCTGTGGTTGTAATACAACTATTAGCTGAATGTACTATTAATAAAATCCTGGGTTGCAAGTACTTACCTTAATATTTAAAAAAAAAAAAACTAGTGTTATATAAGGCTTTGGTGCAAACTCACAATAAGGTCATCAGGTACAGTAAACTAAGAAACCAAAGAGTCAAAAGCCTATTTAGAAATCCTTAAGTAAAAAAATAGTATAAATTTTTGATAATATGATCAGACTGATAGAAGTTCATGAAATACTCCCAAAGAGATATGCAAATAAACTAGATAACAAAATATATAAAGAAACATATAACTAACCAGGCCATCAAAATTATCAAAAAAAAAGAATATATAAGTATATTATATCAGACTATTTGGATTGGAAGTTAAGAGAATTCTGTCAGTTCTGAGTAATAGTTAGTAGGAGATAATAGAGAAGATGTTATGATGATAGGTACTGGAGTTCTAGTAAACTTTATAAGAGTAGAAATAATGTAACATAGCAGCTAAATAGATAACTTATATGACTGCAAGTATTAAACAATTATACCAAGTTATATAAAACTAGGTTAACTGTATATAAGACATAAAAGGTTCTAGTAAGTTTTCTGTTAAGAATAAACTAGTCCTAAGAGGCCTTAAAGACATTGAGTATTTTAAAAAGGTGTAGCCTTGAAGATGTTATTATGAGACATAGTGAACTGTATATATAGAGGGTTTAAATAGACAAGACTTATAGTTAGCTTGCAGATATAGCACCTAGTATAGAATCTATATAGTAATATATAAGCAGACTACTTAAATTAGGCATTAAAAGTACATGTGTGACTAGTTGTAACCTCCAATATAAGAGATCTTCTGAAGGCACTCATATTTAAATATATAAATAAAAACATCAATCCTTATAGACAAGAACTTTAATTGTAAAAAAATAAAAATAAATAAAAGTAGCTAAATTATATAATTGTTATGTTTGAAGATATTTTAAAGCTATTTAATGCCAGATAAAAATAAAATCTAATCAGAACTATTCTAAATACATTGTGATAGAACTATATATAAAATTTAATAAAATATGCATTTAGAGAGATATTGCAATTAGAAAAGTAAAATCTATAAAAATTATATTATATACACTTAGAAAACAATAAGAAAAGTGCATTTATAAAGACTATTTATTATTTGGGCTTAGTGATGAACCATGTGTGAGTTTTTTTTGAATTTCACAAAAGATTTTTAATTATGAAATTATTTGGCCTACATTAGCATATCATCTGACCTGCATTAAATATCATCTGGCTTGCATTAAATATCATCTGGCCTGCATTAACATTAATAAGCCAATTTGTAAAATGGAGATAAAATTACCACCCAAAAAAGTTTCGAACTTCATATACAAATATATCAAACACTAAAAATTTATATAATTTAACAAAAAAATACAAACAAAAAATTTAAATGATAAGTAATAAATTAATCATTTTATTTATTTCGAATAACTCAATAAACGTATTATTTATTATAATGAGAAAGTACGTATTATAATTACGGTTTTCTAAGTAGTGAAAACATGCATTTAGAAGTGCTTTCACAGGATGTGCATATAAAGGGTTGCATTTAGAGTATTTGACTGTCTATAAAACTTATATCTGAAATCAGGTTTTGAATCAGGTTTTGGAACCAAATTCAGAACCAGGTTCAGGAACCAGGTTCGAGAACCAGATTCTGAAACCAGGTTCCAAAAACTTAGTTCAGGAACCAGGTTCTAAAACTAGGTTCGGAACCTGGTTTTTGAACTTTTTAAAAACCAGGTTCTTAGGTTTACAAAATAGAACCTAAGGTTTTTAAACCTAAAACTGAACCTAAACCAACTTAACCATCTCTACTTACACGACAAAGTCACGCATGTGTGAGGTACATCTTTATAACAGTACTTATGTACAGTCAGCTCCAAAGTATATCACGGTTACATAAAACAACAAATTTGATATATGCATACAGGTAACTCTCGGCATAGGAAAGTTTACAAGTTCCATTTGAAAAATTTTAAGTCTTTGATATAAGAAAGTTTCGACATAAGAAGGATTTTGGCTGGACCTGGTGACTTTTTTATATCAAGAATCAGTTGTAATATTTTATCGTTGATTTGTATATTATTTTTGTGTAACCGTGATAGCCGACTGTACAACACTGTAATCTGATTGGCAGATTGTCACAGGTAATTGCAAACATTTCACTGGCCAATCATATCTCATGATCCCGTATAAAATAAAAATAAAAAACACTTCTGGCTTAAATTTTTGTCTACGTATAAAGAATAGCGATAGACTTTTATCAAAATTATCATAACGCCAAGAGACTTTAATATCAAATTACACGTGATTTTTAATACTTATTTTACTTAATTATTAGAAGCATATGCATGCAATTGCATAATCCTGAATAGCCTAGCGTGAACTGTAGACATTTTAAAATCACATGTACTTACGTATTGCAATTAAATAATTTTAAGTGATTATGGCGGTTATCCTTAATTCGTAAAAGAGATACCAGATATCCTGAATTTGGCGAAGGACTTGGAAATATCAAAGTTACCCCATATAATCCCAGATTCAATTCTCGGAAAAATGTAGTGTCATGTAAATTTTACAGATGTTACGGATACTGCAGCCGCAATGAGTAATACAAATCCAAAAAAAGGCATTTAATATAATGCGAAATGTATGTTGAAATTTAGGGTGTTATGTTATAAGTCATCTTTAGGGCTATACATAGAAGCAAACTATCACTCGCTACGTATACGTAAAATTTTGTCCTTTTTTCATCTTTAATTAGCATATCAAGGTCTGTTTAAACATTATTTTCGAGTATTTTTCACTTGTTTTCCTTTTTTTCTTCGGATGTGTCCGGATTCTATGCATCCTATTTAGAAGTTTGTATTACCCGCAAAAATAATTCATCGAAGTCACTGAACTTCATAAAACTTCGATCATCGCACAAGTGGAAAGGACGTTCGTTTTTACTAACAAAATTAGGTTATTGATTTGTCAGATTGTATATAAACATTAATCTTGATTTAAAAAATATTTTTTAACAGGTTATGACGAGTTTCGCAGTGTAGTAAGGAGCTTTTTAACGGTAAATGATATATACAAAAAAAAAACAAGGTTCTAGATATTTTTATGAGATGAGATCACTTCTCACAGGAGCAGTCTGATTTCTTGAATTCAATAGAGTCCTATTGATATATATATCGATATATTAGAATGGACAAGCCTGGTATACATGATTTTACTAACCATTTTTTTTGATCTAATAGTTATCTCTCTTTTGCTCTATTTAACAGACCATTGTTTAATGCATAAACTGCTGCGTAGTATCTAAAAATCGGATGAGCGGAAGAAAATCATTGCAATAAAATGGTACGTACGTATGTGCATATTTTTAAGTTCATATTATAATGCCACTAAAAACGCCCAACGTCTATACTGTACAAAGTTTCTCCAAAACTATACTTATTAAAGAATGCGATTCTTTTTTTTTATATGATTATCGGAGAGATAATCCATTATAAAATTTCTAATTCTGGTTTACTATTATACCACAAATGTATCCGTTGCCTTGTGAAGAATTCTTTGGAAGAATTCTTTAGTTATGCACAACCTTTAAGAAACCTTAGTCACTATTGTTACATTGTTACACAATCATCTAATGACGAATCGAACTTCCTTTATATTTCATCAGAGTTTTCAAGTATCTTAACTAACAATTGCGGCGAATCATTATAATAAATTTCTATGTCTAATAAGATATCAATCGAGTTCAAGGGACCAAAAAACTTTTCGGGGTTTATTAAAATTGAGGACCAAATTCTCAGTTGTGACCAAATTTTAGCTTAAATTTGCCATGATGTATTTGACATTTCTTTCAAATTAAACACAAAAAGACCAATAGTAAACAAAATTATTGAATCTTGGAAATTTTTACTTAATCTTGCGGTCGAGGAATTGTTATACATTAAACTGTAATCATAGTAAATATATTTGCAAAATATCAATAAGCTACCAGAATCTCATACTATTCAATTGACATTTTGATAAATAATGCCTACAACTCATGGCCCAATTCACATTGGTCCAATATATAAACCAACAATAGCACAATCTCTAAAAACCGTATTATTCTCTTCAAAATTAAATGTGTTATTAACATTTATTCCATTGGGATTTTTGGCTCATCATTTTAGATGGATGAGTGCTATCATTTTCGTGTTTAACTTTCTAGCATTGATACCATTGGCGAATTTACTCGGGTTTGTTACTGAAGATATCGCAAACCGGTCTGGTCAGGTAGATTTTGGAGACTTCATTTCGATGTTAAACGAATGCGTGGTTGTTGATGTTGATTAAAACTTCCAATCGTCCCATAGACAATCGGAGGCCTTCTAAATGCAACTTTCGGTAATGCTGTAGAATTAATAATCTCCGTCGTAGCATTAATTCAGGGCGAAATTCGTGTAGTTCAGGCGTCGATGTTAGGTTCTATAATCTCCAATCTCTTATTGGTCTTGGGAACGTGTTTTCTTGCCGGCGGATATCTTTATAAAGAACAAAATTTTAATCAAAAAGCTGCGCAAACTAGTTCAGGATTAATGGCAATAGCTTGTATTGGATTGGTTATACCTGCTGCATTTCATTTCGAAGGTAATCAAGAAAGTAGTGTGAATGGAAATGACTTCTTATTACATAACCAAGTTATGAATTTGAGCCATGGAACTGCATTGGTGTTGTTGGCTATTTACGTGCTTTTTTTAATTTTTCAGGTATTCCCATTAAAATTTTCAAGTGTATGCATTGGTCACGTGACAACCTCAACTCTTTTTATCGTTACCGTTATAGTTGAAAACTCATTCTCACCTCTACGATGGAGAAGAATCCGAAGATCCACAACTATCTTTTGGGACGTCTTTATTTTTACTAGCTTCAATAACAGTTATCGTTACTTTTTCTGCTGATTATCTTATCGATTCAATCGAAGGAATCACGAATACTCTTATGTTAAGTAAAACCTTCGTTGGATTGATTTTATTACCAATCGTCGGTAATGCTGCTGAGGTACGTACGTGCGTACATATTTGGAAACATGTGCGACTGCATTCTACGTGAAAACTTGAAATAGCGATTTTTAATTTCTGAATAACTGTTATGTCGAAAGTTTTTAAAAAAGTGAATGTTTAAAGTCGCTATTCAATTTTCACTCACACTATAAAAGCGATTTCTGCGAACATAGCAGTACTGTCAATTTGACTAAATAGGTACATTTCAATCGGATTATACCAAACGTAAAACATTCATTTTTGATACTCCTGCACCTACTTTTTTGATATATCTAAACATACCCTAAAACTAACCAATAAGGTTGCACGTTATTATAGTAAAAGTAAAGAAATTTTAGTGTGTTTAGATGTATCAAAAAAGTTGATGTAGAAGTATCAAAAATAAATGCTTTGCATACCAAACAGTGTTTTCGGACAGTTGCTCATGTGACTAATTATCAAAAATGGTTATTCGTCGTCCATCCATCGGATTTTGTGATCTGCTATGATCTTAAGAAATATGTATACGTACTTAAAATGCATGTTTCTTAAAACGCCATAACTCTCAAAATCTGCAAGGAATTTTCTCAATGATAACCATTATGTTGTGTTCATGAAGTCATGTGAAAGTTGTGTCCGTATCAGGCATAAAAGCTAAATACATGTGATTTTATTGGTAACAGCACGCAACCGCAGTTAAAGTAGCAATGAAAGATAAGATGGATCTTGCTATCGGAGTTGCTGTTGGTAGCTCAATGGTAAATGAAATTGATTTTTCAATCTTTCGATAATAATCTCAAAACTTATTTCAAAAAAATTATAAATTAGCAAATCGCATTGTTTGTCACTCCATTCCTAGTAATCCTAGGGTGGATTATTGGTCAACCAATGTCATTGCTCTTCCAAACCTTTGAAACCGTAGTTTTGTTCGTCTCTGTCTTGATAACTAATTATTTAATTCAGGTATTCAAACAAAAAAAACATCTTTTTTCAAACATCAATTATCATTTTAACCTTTTCTAATTTGAATATATATAGGATGGTAATTCAAATTGGCTTAAAGGCATGATACTATTGGCTACCTATTCAATTATATCACTAGCATATTTCTTTTATTCTGATGATGATTCTGTCGAAAAAGTTGTTAGCGTTATTAGCTCAATCTTTTGATTTTTTTTTACTATATATTAAAAAATGTTGGTCTAATTCTGTCAATCTGAGTGAGTTACTACGTACTACGTAGTTATATACATTGACGTTTTTTGGTTATTGAATTTTGAGTTATTATCCTAAGGAATTGATTTGTTTAGTCAATTTGATATAAAAATTATATTTTTGGTTGTAATTTAAAATCCTGTATATTAAATAAAATTACCTTTCTGCCATTTTTTTTTTATTAATAAGCCGTGCCTTGAACCTTAGCCTGAATCTACTTTGAATGCACAAGACATTGGAATACAGCATAGCCAAACCGTTAGGATAATATATGAAGATCATTTATAGGCCGTACGTATATTTAAATATTAAGTTAAATTTACATTTTTAGCGCAAGTATCTAACAAAAGTGCATACGTATAATTTTTTTTAACTTAAGCTCTCGACTAGCTTTACATAGTAATAGAGCTATTTTTTAAAAAATTTAGTAAAAATTAATTAAATAATTAATCTTTAATACTTATACGTATAATAATTGACTGATTTTGATAAACTATTAAAGAGTAGCTCTATTACCATGTAGAGCTAGTTGAGAGCTTCCAGTTAAAAAAAAAAAATTATATGCATTTTTGTTAGATAATTATGCTAAAAAAATGTAAATTTGGTTGATAATTGTTTTTATAATCATCCAGTATAAATCGTCGAAAGAATTAATTAATTCATATATTACCTTATTCGCACCCTAATGAGACATTGGTGTGTCAATGTCGGTCTAATTACATAGTGCAGATAACTTCGTAGTGATTATAAATATATATCATATTCCTCCGAAAATAAGCACACCTTTTTTACTATAGAGGTGCTTATTGGATATAAACCTAAAATCAATAATATAGAGCTTTCATGCTATGTAATAGAGATAGGATAGCTCAAAAGAACTGAGCCGGTCAAGTCGGCACAATTTTTCTCAGTCTCACCATCAAAATTTTTACACTTATATGATATATGAGTGCATGAGAGTGAAAACCTATAACAAATCATAATAAATTATTAAATATGTTTTTAGGTTTTTATTCTTATACATTTATATAATAAATTTTTTTTTTATTTTATTTTTAAAGCTGATGTTATTGGTAGCTACCACCTTTATTTGTGTTTTTGGTCAATGCATTACATATGACTTGTACAAGGTAAGTGTGCAACTAGCCACATATGTAACTTTTGGTTACCTATTTAAGTAGTCTGCACAAGGGTTCTACACTAGCTGTCATGCCTGTAACCTATTAGGAGGGTACCTATTTAAACATTTTGATCCTTATACTACATCCAGACAAATAACACCTGGTTCTTATACAATTAAGTGTTATCTAACTTAATATTTAACTTTCCTCTTTTGTATGTCTGTCAAGCTGTTAAACATTCCAGAATATGTCACTTGACTATAAGGTTTTGAAGTATTTCCTTGTTAACTACCTATTCACTTTACAGAACATTAACAAGGTTAGCCTTTATAGAGTATATCCAAACTCCAATATCTATTTCATAGCATATCCTTAGTACTTATAGTATACTTCTGCTTTGATCTCAGACTCCTAATCCAGATAGTTCAATAGAACTATGACCTGTCCTTGGTATATCGAATCAGCCTAATATCCTTTTCTTCTGTTTAGTTCTGATAGCCTGGTTGGTAGTACTGTAATATTATAGATATTTTTAAATATTATTTTATATTATTTTATTGATATTATATTAGTTTTATATTATATTTTA